TCTGTAGTTTTTTTTTTTTTTAATATCTGTCTGGTTTTGGTATTAGGGTAATATTGATCTCATACAATGAGTTAGAGAATAATCCTTCTGCTTCTGTCTTCTGAAAGGGATGGTATAGAATTGGTATAATTTTTCCCCTAAAAGTTTGGTAGAATTCAAATTAGCTAGGCATGATGGCATGTACCTGTAATCCCAGCTACTTGGGAGGTTGAAGCAGGAGAATCACCTAAACCCAGGAGGCAGAGGTTGCAGTGAGCCAAGATCACACCACTGCACTTCAGGCTCGGCAACAGAGAGAGACTCCATCTCTAAATAAATAAATAGATAAATAAGTAAATGTTTGGTAGAATTCATCAGTTAACTGATCTGGGTCTGGTACTTTCTGTTTGGGAAGGTTGCTAATTATTGATTCAATTTTTTTTTTTGGGACAGAGTCTCACTCTGTCACCCAGGCTGGAGTGCAATGGTGTGATCTTGGCTCACTGCAACCTTTGCCTCCCAGGTTCAAGCAATTCTACTGCCTCAGCCTCCCAAGTAGCTGGGACTACAGGTGTATGCCACCATGCCTGGCCAATTTTTTATTTTTAGTAGAGACGGGGTTTCACCATGTTAGCCAGGATGGTCTCCATCTCCTGACCTCATGATCTGCCTGCCTTGGCCTCCCAAAATGCTGGGATTAAGGCATGAGCCACTGTGCCTGGCTGATTCAGTCCTTTAATAGATATAGAGCAATTCAAATTGTCTTTCTTTTTAGGTGAATTTGGCAGATTGTGTCTTCTAAGGAATTGGCCCATTTCATCTAGGTTATCAAACCTGTGTGCATACAGTTTTCCTTTATTTTCCTTTTAATGTTCATGGAATTTGTAATGGTATCCCCTCTTTTGTTTCTTTTTTCTGTTTTTTTGAGGTAGAGTCTTGCTCTGTTGCCTAGGCTGGAGTGCAGTGGTGCCATCTTGGCTCACTGCAGCCTCCTCCTCCCAGGTTCAAGTTATGCTCCTGCCTCGGCCTCCCGAGTAGCTGGCACTACAGGCATGCACCATCATGCCAAGCTAATTTTTGTATTTTTTTTTTGGCAGAGATGGGGTTTTACCATGTTGGCCAGGCTGGTCCTGAACTGACTTAAAGTGATCCATCTGCCTCAGCCTCCCAAAGTGCTGGGATTACAGGTGTGAGCCACCACACCCAGTCTTTTATTTCTTTTCTGTAGAGATGGAGTCTCACTATGTCGCCCAGATTGGAGTGCAATGGCTATTCACAGATGTGATAATCATATACTACAGCCTTGAGCTCCTGGGCTCAAGTGATCCTCCTGCCTCAGCCTCTAAAGTAGGTGGAACTATAGGTGTGCCACATTGTCCAGCTCCTTCACTTTAAAAAAAAGTTTAATTTTGTAGAGATGAGGTCTTGCCATATTGCCAGGCTGAATTCCTTGCCTTGAAATCCTTGCCTCTGGTGATCCTCCCACTACAGACATGAACTACTGTGCTCAGCCTTCTTTACTTTTTTGACCTAACTTCTCCTACAGATCTATAAAGAGTTGTTGGCAGCTCTGGATGCACTGCCTATGACTTAGCCCTGCTCTGCATGGAGCAGTTAAAAAAAAAAAAAAAGGAGCTGTTGATTTTTCCAGTTTGTTCATCTTTTACTTGTTATCATGGATTGGTGACTTCCAGGCTTCTTTTATGCTCTACTGGAAACTGGATGTGTATATTTTTTAAAGCAGTAACAAGAAGGTCAGTGAGGCCGCATGCAATGGCTCATGCCTGTAATCTTAGCAGTTTGGGAGGCCAAGGCGGGTGGATCACCTGAGGTTGGGAGTTTGAGACCAGCCTGACCAACATGGAGAAACTCTGTCTCTACTAAAAATACAAAATTAGCTGGGTATGGTGGTACATAACTGTAATCCTAGCTACTTGGGAGGCTGAGGCAGGAAAATCACTTTAACCCAGGAGGCAGAGGTTGCAGTGAGCTGAGATGGCATCATTGCACTCCAGCCAGGGCAACAAGAGCAAAACTCTGTTTCAAAAAAAAAAAAGTCAATGAGGCCAGAGCAGAGTGAGAGGGAGAGTGTTATGAAATGAGATTGGAGAGGTAGCCAGGGTCTAGTTCGTGTAATAGTGTTATTAGGCATGGAAAGATTTTGTGTTTTATTCTAAAAATGACGAGAAGCTATTAGATAGTTTTGAGCAAAGGTGTGACATTCTGTGTTAGATTGTAAGAGCATTGCTCTGGCTTTTGTGAGAGTAAACCACAGGAGTTTAAGAGTGGAAGAAGGAAGATGAATTAGAAGGGAATGGGCAGTAATGCAAGCAAGAGATAATAGTGGCTTGAATCAGGGTGGTATTATGAGGGTGGTAAGAAGTTGTAGATTTCTGAGTATAGTTTGAAGACAGAACTGACAGGATTTATTAATGAGCTGGCTGTGAGAAAGAGAGGAGTCAATCATGACTCCTAGATTTTTGGCATGAGCAACACTGCGGAATACTAAAAGGAGGAACAGGTATAGAGATATTGAAAGAATCAAAAGTTCAGTTTTGGACATATTAAGTTGGAGATGCAGTGGGTTAAATCTAAGTAGAGATGTTGATTAGGCAGTAATAGTTGGTTAAAAAGTGTAGAGAGGGTCGGGTGCAGTGGCTCATGCCTGTAATCCCAGCACTTTGGGAAGCTGAGGTGGGCAGATCATGAGGTCAGGAGTTTGAGACCAGCCTGGCCAATGTAGCGAAACCCCATCTCTACTAAAAATACAAAAATTAGCCAGGCATGGTAGCACGTGCCTATAATCCCAGCGACTTGGGAGGCTGAGACAGGAAATCACTTGAACCTGGGATGTGGAGGTTGTGGTGAGCTGAGATCATGCCACTGCACTCGAGCCTGGGCAGTAGAGTGAGACTCCATCTAAAAAAAAAAAAAAAAGAAGTCGTTGTCTAAGGACTGAACCCCAGAGCATTCTAGCTTGTAAAAATTAGGAAGAGATGGCTGGGCATGATGGCTCACACCTGTACATCTGTAATCCCAGCACTTTGGGAGGCTGAGGTGTGTGGATCACGAGGTCAGGAGTTCGAGACTAGCCTGACCAACATGGCGAAACCCTGTCTCTACTAAAAATACAAAAATTAGCCAGATATTGTGGCGCGTGCCTGTAATGCCAGTTACTCAGTAGGTTGAGGCAGGAGAATCGCTTGAGCCCAAGAGGCAGAGGTTGCAGTGAGCCAAGATCTCGCCACTGCATTCCAGCCTGGGCGACAGAGTGAGACTCTGTCTCAAAAAAAATAAAATAAAATTAGGAAGAGGATCTATAACAGTGTAAGGTGAAAAGGAGCAGACAGTGGTGTTGGAAGAAAATAATGGACTGGATGCAATGGTTCACACCTATAATACCAGCACTTGGGGAGGCCATGGTGGGAGGATTGCTTGAGCCCAAGAGTTGGAGACCATCTCTGGCAACATAGGGAGATCCCTTCTCTACAACAAATACAAAAATTAGCCACGTGTGGTGGTGTGCACCTGTAGTACCAGTTACTTCAGAGGCTGACATAGGAGCCCGCGAGGTGAAAGCTGCATTATGCCATGATTTCACCACTGCACCACTGCATTCCAGCCTGGGTGACAGAGCAAGACTGTTTCCAGAAAAAAAAAAAAAAACAGAAAAAAGAAAATAATGAAGAGTTTGGTATTCTGGAAACCAAATGAAGAAAGTGTTTCAAGCAGGAGCAGGTGATAACTACGCTTTCTGAACTGTGCTTTCTGGGAGGCTGGGTAAGATGGGATCTGAGAATCAGCTGTTAGATTTCAGTGGAGACCTGGGCAAGAGTGGCTTCATTGGAGCAATAGAGATGAATTAAGGCCTGACGAGGGTAAGTTTAAGAGAGAATTCATGACAAGGATGTGGAGGAAGGAGAATTTAAAACCTTTCTGAGCATTTTTGCTTTAAGGGATTAGAGAGAAGAGTAATAATTGGGAGGGCTGGATAGGGATGTTCAATAAAAGGAGGGGTTTTGTTTTTGTTTCTATGATGGGAGATATTTTAGCATGTTTATTTGCTAATGAGAAAAAAATAAAAGGTAAAATCCATGTTGTAAGAAAAGGAGCAAAGCTTTAGAGTAGGGAAACGAGAAAGCACCCAGTGCACCATGGAGGGGTTCACCTTGGAAAGGAGCACAATATTATAATATGCACCCACTGACACACAGGAGGAAGCCAGAATTCCAGAAGGAATTATCAGTTGGCAGTTAGATCTAGTGGTGGAACTTGTGGAATTTCTCTTCTGATTACTTCTTTTCTTCTCTTCCACTCCAGCGAAACAAAAATAGGTAATTTCAGCCAGGGAGCGTGGCATACAGTGGCGCCTTTCAGCTGCTCGGGAGGCTGAGGCAGGAGGATCCTTTGGGCCCAAGAGTTTGAGTCCAGCCTGGGCAACATAGCAAAACCTCATCTTTGAAAAAGAAGAAAAGGCCGGGTGCAGTGGCTCACACCTATAATCCCAGCACTTTGGGAGGCCGAGGCGGGTGGATCATGAGGTCAAGAAATCGAGACCTTCCTGGTCAACCTGGTGAAACCCCGTCTCTACTAAAAGTACAAAAATTAGCTGGGCATGGTGGCGCCCACCTGTAGTCCCAGCTACTCAGGAGGCTGAGGCAGGAGAATTGCTTGAACTCAGGAGGCGGAGATTGCGGTGAGCTGAGATCGCGCCATTGCACTCCAGCTTGGGTAACAAGAGCGAAACTCCGTCTCAAAATAAAAAAAATAATAAAAATGAAGAAGAACAAAATAGGCAATCTCTCCTAATTCTCCTGTGTTTTCTTAGTAACAGAACCCAGATTTCATTGGGAGCAGGATGCCCAGCTTCTGTTCCAACTTCACTAGTCGTGTCCATGTGACTAAGTTCTGGTGAAATGTTAGTGGAAGTTGTTTGGTGGGGTTTCTGTGAAAGTTTCTAAAACATGATTGATAGGATTGATTGAGCTAATATTTGGCCCTTTCTTTTCTTTTTTGCCAAGGACATGGACAAGATGGCGGGAGTCCTATGGAGTCCTTAAGCCATATAATATGCAAAGGATGAAGGAAGATCAAGTCTAGGTGCCTGATGACAACATGGAGCTGTCACACAAGCCCTGGCTGCCTACCCTTGGACTTCTCATTATGGGAGAAAATGAAACAATTCGTTTCAGCTACACTGATCTTTTTTCCTATTTTTCTTTTGTTGAGTGTGTGTTTGTGTCTGTTATTTACAGCTGATTGTAATTCATAACGATGTGGTAGTGGGACTGTGTAAGTTTTGTCTTCTGATGCTTTTTCTTTTTTCTTCAGTGAAACAGGGAGAGGGTGATTGTTAGCTAAATGTAAGGATTGGGGAAGGAGTGTGGGAGGTTTGTGGAGAGAAAATGTGTGAAATAGTTATCTCTGAATGGTAGACTAAATTTTTTTTTTTTTTTTTTTTGAGACGGAGTTTCACTCATGTTACCAAGGCTGGAATGCAATGGCGCGATCTCGGCTCACCACAGCCTCCGCCTCCTGGGTTCAGGCAATTCTCCTGCCTCAGCCTCCTGAGTAGCTAGGATTACAGGCACACGCCACCATGCCCAGCTAATTTTTTGTATTTTTAGTAGAGACGGGGTTTCACCATGTTGACCAGGATGGTCTCGATCTCTTGACCTCATGATCCACCCGCCTCGGCCTCCCAAAGTGCTGGGATTACAGGCTTGAGCCACCACGCCTGGCGACTAAATTAAGTAGGGAGATATAGTAGGTCATTCAGATATCTGTGGTTGTAAATATAAAATGAGATCAGTCATCTGGATTCTATTTTTCTCTAGTCGGGTTTACCTGCTCAGGAGAAGGTATAAACTTGATGGTGATTGGATTTAACCAGGATTTATAATTTGCTACAGCTATTGTGTCACCATTTATGAAATAGAAAAAGATACTATGCAGTCACTGGGAAGACAGTTGACTAAATGGACTTATAAAAACATGTGACTGCTGGCTGGGCACGGTGGGTCACACCTGTAATCCTGCACTTTGGGAGACCGAGATGGAGGATTGCCTGAGCTCAGGAGTTCAAAGACCAGCCTGGGCAACACAGTGAAACCCCATCTCTACTGAAATACAAAAAATTAGCCAGGGGTGGTGGCACGTGTCTTTAAGCTACTTGGGAGGCTGAGGCCGAAGAATTGCTTGAACCCTGGAAGTGGAGGTTGCAGTGAGCTGAGATTGTGGCACTGCACTCCAGCCTGGGTGACAGAGCGAGACTCGTCTCGAAAAACAGAAACAAAACATGTAATTAATAAAAGCAGTAGACTTGAAAGCAAAACTTACACATATTTTTTGAATAGGTTAAAGTCCCATGGTTCAAACATTAAAGAGGTAAAAAGATACACAGGCATACCTTAGTTTATTGCACTTCACTTTATTGAAATTTTTCTTTTTTGAGACAGTTTTGCTCTTGTTGCCCATGCTGGCATACATGGGCAACCCCACCACAACCTCTGCCTCCTAGGTTCAAGTGATTTTCCTGCGTCAGCTCCCGAGTAGCTGGGATTACAGGCATGCACCACCATGCCCAGCTAATCTTTGTATTTTTGGTAGAGACAGGGTTTCACCACGTTGGCAAGGCCGGTCTCGAACTCCTGACCCCAAGTGATTCACCTGCCTCGGCCTCCCAAAGTGCTGGGATTGCAGGCTTGAGCCACTGCACCCAGCCTTTTTTTTTTTTTTAAGATGGAGTTTTGTTCTTGTTGCCCAGGCTGGAGTGTAATGGCACATCCTGGCTCCTCCTGGCTTTTTTTTTTTTTTTTTTTGAGATGGAGTCTTGCTCTGTAGCCCAGGCTGGAGTGCAGTGGCGCAATATGAGCTCACTGCAACCACCACCTCCTAGGTTCAAGTGATTCTCCTGCCTCCGCCTCCGGAAGAGGTGGGACTACAGGTGCGTGCCAGCGCACCCAGCTAATTTTTTGTATTTTTTTAAGTAGAGACAGGGCTTCACCGTGTTAGCCAGGATAGTCTTGAACACCTGACCTCATGATCCTCTCACCTTGGCCTCCCAAAGTGCTGGGATTACAGGCGTGAGCCACCATGCCCGGCCCACTTTACTGAACTTCACAGATAATGAGGGTTTTCTCTTTCATTTTTTTATAGACATATTGAAGGTTTATGGCAACTCTATATCAAGCGAGTCTGTTGGCACCATTTTTCCAACAGCGTTTGCTCACTTCATGTCTCTGTGTCACATTTTGGCAATTCTTATAACTTTTTCATTACAGGCCACATGTGGTGGCTTACGCCTATACTCCCAGCATTTAGGGAGGCCAAAGCAGGTGGATCTCCTGAGGTCAAGAGTTCAAGACAAGCCTGGCCAACATGGCTAGACCCCGTCCCTACTAAAAATACAAAATTAGCCAGGTGTGGTGGCATATGCCTGTGATCCCAGCTACTTGGGAGGCTGAGGCAGGAGAATCCTTTGAACCCAGAAGGTGGAGGTTGCTGTGAACCGAGATTGCACCATTGCACTCCAGCCTGGGAGATAAAGCGAGATTCTGTCTCACAAAAAAAAAAAAAAGGAAAAAATACCTTTTTTATTATTATTGTATTTGTTATGGTGATCTGTGATTAGGAATCTTTGATGTTATTATTGTGATGGTTTTTGAGCGCCACAAACATATGCCATTCATCTTAATCTATAAATGTGTGCGTTGTGATTGTGCCACTGACCAGCCATTTCCCATCTCCTCTCCTTAGGCTTCCCTGTCTAATTAGACACAAAATTGAAATCAGACCAATTAAGCCTACAGTGGTCTCTGAGAGAGGCTAAAAGTTAAGCCTCTGGTGCTAAACAGCCAAATTGTGAGTGCATAGGAAAAGTTCTTAAAGGAAATTAAAAGTGCTACTCCAGTGAACACATGAATGATAAGAAAGTGAAACAGGCCGGGCGTGGTGACTCATGCCTGTAATCCCAGCACTTTGGGAGGTTGAGGTGGGCGGATCACTTGAGGTCAGGAGTTCAGGACCAGCCTGGCCAACATGGTGAAACCCTGTCTCCACTAAAAAATACAAAAATTATCTGGGTTTGGTGGGGCACACTTGTAATCCAAGCCACTTGGGAACCTGAGGCAAGAGAGTCGCTTGAATCGGGAATAGGGAAGGGGAGGGCCCACTGAAAAAAAAAAAAAGAAAAAAAGAACCTGGAGGTGGAGGTTGCAGTGAGCCGAGATTGTGCTGCTGAACTCCAGCCTGGTTAACAGAGGGAAACTCTGTCTCAAAAAGCAACAACAACAACAAAAAACAGTCTTATTGCTGCTGATAGGGAGAAAGTTTTAGTAGCCTGGATAGAAGATCAAACCAGCCACAACATTCCCTTAAACCAAAGCCTAATCCAGAGAAAAGCCTCAGTTCTCTTTAATTCTATGAAGCCTGAGAGAGGTGAAGAAGCTGCAGAAGAAAAGTTTGAAGCTAGCAGAGGTTGGCTTGTGAGATTTAAGGAAAGAAGCCATCTCCATAACATAAGAGTACAAAGCAAAGTAACAGATGCTGATGTAGGAGCTGCAGCAAGTGATCCAGAAGATCTAGCTAAGATCATTGATGAAGATGGCTATATTAAACAACATTTTTGGCCAGGCACAGTGCCTCACATCTAATCCCAGCACTTTGTGAGGCTGAGGTGAGAGCATTGCTTGAGGCCAGCCTGAACAACATAGCAAGGCTTTTTTTACTGAGTAGCTGGGATTACAGGTGCATGCCACTGTGTTAGCCTAACTTGTGCTAACCTAACTGACTCCATCTTAGCTGTGAGCCTGACAAGCTCCATCTTAGCTTTCCCTCCCTGCCACGGCCCCCTCAGGTGCATTACTGGGTCATGCTGTACTCAGAACCTTGAACCATTGAGGTTTGGGCCACACTGTTCTCAGTACCTGCAAATGATGTAACCGCATCCTGCTTGGCAAGCCCACCTGCTGTTGTAAAAAAACCCCTCCTTGGTGATTGATTATACAGAAAGACCCCCTGCCACCCCCCTTGATGATTGTATGGAAGTATCCTTGGTAACCAGCAACTATGGGAACCTCCTGCTTTCTAGTTACCAGCTTCCTCCTACTAACTTACTTGTTATGCTTCTGTAAAATTACACTTTGCCCCCCACTTCTCTAAGTAAGGTATAAAAAGGAATCAAACCCCTTCTTCAGGGCTGAGAGAATTTTGAGCATTAGCAATAAAGGACTCTCAGTTGAAACTCAGAGCATGGCACTTTCCTTACAACTCGCTTGGTTACCACACCACCACACTCGACTAATTTTTTGTGTTGGTAGAAACGGGGTTTCACCATGTTAGCCAGGCTGGTCTCGAACTCCTGATCTCAGATGATCCACCCACCTCAGCCTCCCAAAGTGCCAGGATTACAGGCATAAGTCACCATACCCAGCAGCTATTTTTTTTTTTTAATCTCTACGAAAATAAAATTAGGTGTGGTGGCATGCTCCTGTAGTCCTACCTACCTGGCAGACTGAGGTGGGTGGATTGCCTGATCCCACGGTTTTGAGGCTGCAGTGATCTATGATCATACCACTGCGTTCCAGCCTGGACAACAGAATAAGACCCTGTCTCCGAAAGAAGACAAAAAATTAGCAATAAAAAGGATTTTCGATGTAGACAAAACAACCTTAAATTGAAAGAAGATGTCATCTGTGACTTTCATAGCTAGAAAGGAGAAGTCAGTCCCTAGCTTCAAAGCTTCAAAGAATGGTCTGAATCTGTCAGGGGCTAATGCAGCTGGTGATTTTAAGTTGAAGCTGTTGCTCATTTACCATTCCAAAAATCCCATGATCCTAAAGAATCATGCTAATTCTACTCTGCCTGTGCTCTATAAATAGAACAATAACACCTGGATAACAGCGTATCTATTTACAAGATGGTTTACTGAATATTTTCAGCCCATTGTTGAGACCTACTGTTCAGAAATAAAGATTCTTTCAAAATGTTACTGCTCATTGACAATGCACCTAGTTACCTAGGAGCTCTGATGGACATGTACAGGGAGGGAGATTAATGTTACTTTCATGCCTGCTAACACAGCATACATTCTGTAGCTCGTGGACCTAGGAGTAGTTTCTATTTTTTTTTTTTTTTTTTTTTTTGGAGACAGAGTCTCACTTTGCCACCCAGGCTGGAGTGCAATGGCACAATCCTGACTCACTGCAACCTATGTCTCCTGGGTTCAAGCAGTTCTCCTGCCTCAGCCTCCCAAGTAGCTGGGATTACAGACTCCTCCCATCATACCCAGCTAATTGTATTTTTAGTAGAGATGGGGTTTCGATATGTTGGCCAGGCTGGTCTCAAACTCCTGACCTCAGGTGATCCACCCCCCTTGGCCTCTCAAAGTGCTGGGATTATAGGCGTGAGCCATGACACCCGGTCATCTAGTTTGAAGTCTTTAAGAAATGCAATTGTAAATGTGGTGGCTCACACCTGTAATTCTATCACTTTGGGAGGCTGATGCGGTGGGTCACTTGAGGCCAGGAATTCAAGACCAGTCTGGCCAACGTGAGGAAACGTGTCTCTACTAAAAATACAAAAACTAGCTGAGTGTGGTGGTGCAGTTGTAATCCCATCTACTCAGGAGGCTGAAGCATGAGAATCACTTGAACCTGGGAGGCGGAGATTGCAGTGAGCCAAGATCACACCACTGCACTCCAGCCGGGCTGACACATTAAGACTCTGTCTCAAAAAAATAGAAAATAGAAATGCATTTGTAACACTGTAGCTGCCTTAAACAGTGTTTTCTCTGGCTGGGCACAGTAGCTCACACCTGTAATCCCAGCACTT